TTCTCGCCCATATGTTTTCCTAATCACTCATCACAAAGCACCCCCTTTCCTCGTCACGTGACACAAATAAAAGTGGTTCTCGACATAATTTGCCGCTCCCTTTGAAGTTTGCCGGCTAGCCTAACCATCTAATTCTATTAACCGTGATTACATGCTTGAGCTTCCAGCTGCGTATATACTTGAATAATTATTGCAGGAATGCAGTTTCGTTTTTCACGAGACAAAAGAGTGCTTTGAGGCAGGAAACCGTATCAGCCACGCTTGTCCATTTTGAAACGTTTTCTCGAACAAATCCAGCACAAAAGTCAAGCAGAATTTGTCAAGATGGTGATGTCTAGAAGTACAGCAGTTGGGTCGATAGTAACAGGCTCTATTATGCTCGGTTTTGCAATTATTGCCGTGATATGTGGCGCTGTTTCATCCGGGAAGCTGTCTGGCCAGGCTGCAGCTTCGGCTGGTTTGTGGTCGCTCTATGTAAGTATTAATTAAGCCTTGTTCATGTCCAAGTCTTACGCCTAAAACTTACGTGACCCATGTTGTTTAGAGCTTGAGTTTCATTTGGTCGCACTAATTTTCGAAGGCTTGATTGTCAGATCTTGTGACTTGTCGTTGACATTACTGGTTGCCTTTTGTGAAGTATTAAATTAAGGAAATACGTTTTCCCAACTTGTATAGCAATGTAGTGAATGTTTGGTAGTCCTATTTTGGCTACACTCATCGTGTGATCGCGACCACCACGACTAAGTCCAAACTAAAGCTAAATTCTGCTTCTCATTTGCTTTTTAATGAATAATGGCGACTGTTTGCCAATATGGCGATGTCATGTAAATAGTCACGATCGATGTGCCATTTTGAGTTTTGTAATTGTAGGCAGATTAGTAAAGACAAAGGCAGTTTACGGCATGCATTCGTCACAACGGAAAAAAACTGGCCTTGACTTTTGTACTGAAGACTTTAAGACGGCCGAATAGCGAATAATATTGAAATAAAATCGATAAAGATCGTAGACTAGTCTGAAGGGCGCGGATCGTTGTCATGCCATGCATATATGTTTGTCTCGTAAAAATATCCGTTATGTATAATACACAATGATTATATACGCATATGAAGATACAAACAAGTGTTTTAAAAACTTTAAACAAAAACAGCGGACGTCGAAATTACAGAATACCCATACAGTATCGGGGCCTATCAGTGCCAAGTGCGCTGTGAAATTATTCAATATGGCCAGCCTCGTACCCAGGCGCAAATAACGTACTAAAAAACAGCAACACTACAGTTTTTTTATATAGATCAGTGGCTGAGCGAGCGCGCGGGGGTG